CTCTATAAAAATGGTGTCTTATGTTTTGGCGATTAAATTAAGCGTTCAAAAGATATTCATCATCAAACTTTCATGTGTACTGATTTTTGTCTCTGTATATATATATATATATATATACTATTAAAAACCAGTCATTTATTGGTTGCAGTAGAAATAAACATATATATTTTATATAAGTTTAATATTAAAAATATTATATATATATATATATTATATTATTTATTAATTTAATTAATAATTAAAATTAATTATCATACCTATAGTTAAAAATAGAAAGATCGTTGTAAAGATTGGTCCAGTAAGTATCATGTTGATATATTCCAAAAAATATATAACGATCCGTTAGTTGAAAGATTTGCGATATGAAAAAATAGTTCCTGATGATAGGCAATCCTTTCTACACACTTGTAAGAAGGTAATTGAATTGTTTTGAAAAAAATCAATTGAGATACCGGCTACTTGAGGGAGGATTTTTATTATTATACTATTACTCGTTGAATATTTATTTATTATGAGATTGTAAGAGCTCACTGATTTATAAGTAAGAAAACAACGAGTAGAGTAAAGGCCAACGAAGTCAACCGAGAAATGTGTCTCCGATTCCTCTAACTCGACTGACAGTCGTTGTTAGTCGGCACCAATCTTCGACTCTTACTGAATGGCAAAGAAAAAAGGAAAAGAGAGAGAACAAAAAATTGGTGGGAGTTGTAAATGTGTGTGTGTGTATTATGGGGTAGCTAGCAAACCAGCAGCAACAGCAGAAGAAGGCCGATGACTGTAGTTTATAAACTTACACATTCAAATATCACTCACATTCTATGAAGATATGCCTCTTCTTGGTACATCGACTCCATTGCAGTTTTATCTCATTCACCTTATCATCTTTTTCCTTTTCTTTTTTTTTTCTGTTTCTTTTTCTTTGCTGCTCCACACAGTGCGTCAGGTTCTATATGTGTCAGTAATTATGATAATGGATTAAGTCAAAAGAAAAAAGGAAATGGAAACAAATTTTATATTACAATTTATTATATTTTATAATATAAATATATAATTGTAATATATAAATTAAATCATAAAATTAAATGTTTCTAATTTTTTTTTTAACTTAATCTACTGTCCACATAATTAAACCAACATAATTTAAAATACGTGGTAAGATTCTAGGCAAGAAAATGCATATATTATTAAAATGAATTATTTACAAAAAGAATATTAATATAATTTTATTGGTTTCACTCGCACGATGATAACTGTTTATATCTAATTCCTTCTTTTTTCTAATTATTATTTTTATCTTACAATTAATCTTATAATTTGTTTCTTTTCTTTTGTTATAAAATATGAGCATAGTTCATTTAAAATAATCATATGTTCATCCTAACTCTTCTCTGTTATAGGAAAGAAATATTTGATTCATTTCTAGAAAGACACCATTTATATGAAGGTATATATATATATATATATATATATATATATATATATATATATATATATATATATATACATACTATATATATATACTATACCCCTATCTATGGTTTCACTAAATTTAATGTGTCATGTCACAAGAAGAAATATTTTTTGGAACATCCTTATATACAGGGTGTTTTAAAATATATGAACAAACCTTCAGAAATATTGTCAGTACACTAAAACAAAACAAAAAAAATTCGTATAATCATATTTTAGTATATACGTGCATATATACTAAAAAGATTATCTTTGTCTCTCTTTCTCTCTGAAAAATAAAAATAGAAAAGTCACTTCTTTTTTGAAAAAATTCTTCGAGATTTGTAGAAATATTTCAAGACAGTTTCTCGAAGCATTTGTTCAAACATGGCCATCACTCTAATGAAAAAAAAGGACATTTTTTGCACGTGTAACTGATTATAAATTATCTCGGGTTGGATAGATAAAAAGGGTCGTTAGAACGAAAAAGTATTCTTTTATCTATCCGGAAGTTGACCTTCAATCTTTGTATGTTAGTTTAGTTTAGTTTGAAATCAACTTTTCTTGCCGTTTGATCAGGAATATTATATTCTTTTGGAATTAGATGATAACACTTGACACTAACGATTATTATGCCTTAGGAAATTAATCTAATATATATATAATATATATATTAGAAAAGTGATACGTTCTCAGTGTACTTCGTACTTACATATTATCCAGTCCTTGTAAATCTTTACTATTTTAACATTAACAAATCATTGATAAGTGCAAATTATCTTAATATATATAAATTACGTGTCATGTTGTTTGTCCGCAATGGACTCCTAAACTACTGAACTGATTTTAATAAAATTTTGCACACTGTGTGCAGTTTCATCCAACTTGAAAAATAGAATAGTTTATATCTCAATTTATAATCGCAATATTATTTTATTGTGAATTATTTGTTTATTAACAAAGAGTCATGATTATCTCTGTTAGTTCGATAAGATTCTAACAGATGACGGTATAAGGTAATTCATTTTAGGGATCCTGTAGGAGGGATGCGCTATTCATATTCAGCTCATGTGCCATTGGCTGAAAATTTTGGGGGACCGCTTGAATTTATAATAATTTTTTCGTGTAACCTATTCTATTTTAATATAAATTTTTAATTATCATTAAATATAGTTCATTTTTTTTCTGTATTTGATG